TTCCTAAGTATTATTTAAATGATATGTGTCTATTAAGTACGCTCAGAAGGACATGCGCTTACCCTACACCAGTTCAATTTCGCCTGTCTAGTATTAAACAGTTTTAATTTTCTATGTGTCATCGTGAATACATTTAAATGTTTCAAAAAGACACGCGTTTGATGTGTAATTAATAACAGCTATACAGATAATTATAAACAATGATTTTTTTTCATTACAGCAACTAAGATCTTGTGAAACGTTTTGTGTTCTTTAAAACTATTTAAAATTTTAGATAAGTTATTCTCAAAATAATGTGCAAGTACCCTAATGCTACCTTATGTTGTTCAATGTTGTAAATGAATACGTACTGAGTGGGTAACATGAGAAATGTGTGTTCATCGTTTGAAAAGAGTAATGTAAATTCGTCGTTTGGTATTATCACAAGTGTTTAGTTGTCAGGAAACCATCTCAAATAAATAAAAATCTAGTGATTAGCGTGTTGAATTATTTATTTGCCTTTTTTAAATACAAACATGTTTGATCAAGTTTTTCTTTTGTGTCAAAGTGTCCTCGTTATATAGCCATTTTCATAGTTTCTATAGTAAAGTAGTTACTATCCTAGTGTCTCATTTTTATTTTACTTAGTTTACATGTTTTTAATAATTGTAAAGCGCTTAGAGCTTTATGGTAAGCGCTATATAAAAATGCCTAAATAAATAAATAAATAACATAATCCAGCGTCTGCACTACCGTCTGTTACTTGAAATAAAGACACAAATTTAGGTCACCAATAAAGAGCTCTAAGTTATTAAAATGGTCACCATGGCACATAAGACAAATCACAAAGTGTTCCGAGAACCACCAAGACACGTACCACAACTCGCAAAAGTTTTCCGAGAACCACCAAGACACATACCACACCTCGCAAAAGTATTCCGAGAACCACCAAGACACATACCACAACCCTCAAAAATATTACGAGAACCACTAGGACACATACCACAACTCGAAAAAGTATTACAAGTTCCTAAAGACACATACGATGCATCCCATACTAATTAAAACTAACGCTAGTGTGTGCACTTTTGATAAAAACAGTCCTATCAGTTAGGATTTATCTGCCTGTCACTTAGATCTTTCACGTGTTATAGGGAGGTGCCCAGTTAAACCCAGACAGTCCTGTCAGTTAGGATTCATCTGCCTGCCACTTAGATCCTTCACGTGTTATAGGGAGGTTCCCAGTTAAACCCAGACAGTCCTATCAGTTAGGATTCATCTGCCTGTCACTTAGATCCTTCACGTGTTATAGGGAGGTGCCCAGTTAAACCCAGACAGTCCTGTCAGTTAGGATTTATCTGCCTGTCACTTAGATCCTTCACGTGTTATAGGGAGGTGCCCAATTAAACCCAGACAGTCCTATCAGTTAGGATGCATCTGCCTGTCACTTAAATCCTTCACGTGTTATAGGGAGGTGCCCAGTTAAACCCAGACAGTCCTATCAGTTAGGATTCATCTGCCTGTCACTTAGATCCTTCACGTGTTATAGGGAGGTGCCCAGTTAAACCCAGACAGTCCTATCAGTTAGGATTCATCTGCCTGTCACTTAGATCCTTCACGTGTTATAGGGAGGTTCCCAGTTAAACCCAGACAGTCCTGTCAGTTAGGATTCATCTGCCTGTCACTTAGATCCTTCACGTGTTATAGGGAGGTGCCCGGTTAAACCCAGAACTGAGACGGTGGTCGAGATGAAATCCACATGGGGTTGAAAAGTGAATTTTATTTTTTTTTATATTTTGATGGACTAACACAAATATTATTGAATGAATTTGTCCATCTAGACATTCTCTACCTGTGTGATAAATGCGACGCCGTCCATCCAAGGAGTTCCTTTCTGATGAAGGCCATGCCAGTGGACCGTCACAGCTCCGCTGGTCAGCAAGTTTCTAACATGTACGATGACTTTCTGACCCTCGTAAACCTGGAAAAGATTTGCAAAGGACAGGAAATGTGCAACATTTGTTGATATAACAGGAATATTAGTCTGAAAGTTGTATTATTATTTTTGGATACTGGCAGCAGAGCTTAAAATACTTGAACAAATCGTATGGTGCAATGCTACTACTACTAGTACTACTACCGGTACTATTACTAAGAACACAACTAACAATAACACTGATACGTTCAGCGTCCTACGCCACTAGCTCTCCTTGCTCTACTGACCATCTGACCACCTGCACACACTACCGTACTACCCCCTTTCCCTTTGTATCCTTACGCTATACCGGCACTTATAGTTCGCCTGGCACAAAACAGACGCTTATGGATTTGACAATGATTTGTAAAGAAACACCGGTATACAAATAAGCAGCCCTACCACAAAATATAAAACTCAATTTATTTTCCAAACTTAACAAAATGTAGTTAAGTTATCAAGAATATGTTTTAAAACTTCCATATACTTATTTTGTTATTAAATAGATAAACTCTACTTCGTTGAATTTGTTGTGCTATTTCTTTTTTCTTCTTTACATTATAAATTCTGATCTGATTTTTCTTTAAAATTATCCGCACAGGATTAGAAGATATGTCAAGACTATAAATGATCCATTTAAAAATATTCAGAAATTTTCTTTCCGAACAGTGCTGATAAATGGAAGACACAAAATAAGTTATTGTTTTTTAAAAAAAAAGAATCAACATCTTTCTATCATGGCACAATGAATCTTGTACAGTGTGTAACACAAGGAGTTAGCTAGTAGAATGTGTAACCTAGTGATCTACCTAGTCTGTAACACAATGCCCAAACAGCTACAGTATTTAGCATAGAGGCTATTTATGTAAATTGCGTAACACATCATTTCGAGCTCGGACACAACTCACCAGCAGGGTACAACAGTGTTCATAAAAACAACAAATGACCGGATCTCATGTGTACAGCAATCCTAAGAACTATAAAATGAATATGAGAAGCACTTGACCACAAAGATTGTACTATAACATTGATTGGACTTGGACTCTTCTCATATCACATTGTGGCAATCGAATCAAAGTCTTATAATCATTTGTCTTAGTCTTTCACTGTATTGTAAATTACAGAGTGGAATACTAATTACAATCACAGTGTAATGACTTCTGCTTAACTTCCTTATAGATGGTGATGTTAGACAACCATGTGATCTTAAACCCGAGGAAATACACGATCAATATCAATATGTTTTAAGCTGTTTTCTTTTTATTGTAAAAAGACAGCCAAAACATGAACTAATCCAATGACTTTTAACGTCTTCACCCAAGAGAGCTCTAGCTAACATTTCCTCTGATTTGTCCCCCTACCGCTTTATTTTAGTTTATTTGTGAATATTAAGTCAAAGGTCGTTCAGAGATATTGATTCGCCAACCTCTACCTGTCATTCCCAAGTATACACGATGCTTAGCCCAATGCCTTTATGAAGAGCTGTTGATACCACTGCCAATAGATATGCTATAGGCCTCCGCACAGGCAGCGTTAGGACTTTTTCGAGAATAATATAAGTGCGTGACACATAAGGGTGGCCGAATGGGATTTATTCTGTTGGAGACCTGTGACCTGGGATAGACTTGCAAGGTGCACTGCAGGAGAGACTTGGATACTAGCGAAAACATGTGTTTATGGGAGACATGGGGAGGGAGAAAGGTTATTATGGAAGCCCTGGTTTTTTGTCGGGGTCTGTGTCTAAAACCTTATAAAATACACCCAAAACTTAACAATGTATTTAAGCTGTTTACGTCACACCATCATTATGCTGGATTTTTAGACAGACTATCCTTGCACCATGACGTCATTGATGTCATCTACAAACAAACAGACAATCGCAGACAGCAATTTCGTTTCAAGTTCAAGGGCTGTGCCGCAATGACCAATATTGATATTCTCTACTGTTGACCAATTCTGTGACGAATACTTAAGGAATACTTAAGGAATGTACATATAAAATAAACTGATCAAGTTTAGTAAGTCTTCCTACAAGAAAAAGAAGACGAGGGACAATAGTCTATTTTATAGTCGACATTCTATTTTTTTCATACACCTAATCGTTGGCATTTGTTATAACAAAAAATATTTTTCTTTCGTCTTGTATTATTTGCAAAGAGCTTTTCATGTGTTAAAAATGTGTTTGAAAGGTGGATAGTGTCTTAAGATTTTTTTATCGGACATGCTTTGTCTAAGAACCTATTAAATAAATTAAAAAATATAATTTATAATAATGTTATATTTAATGCAGTAAGAATTTTTATTCATGCAAAGTCCATTTTCTTTTTTAAAATTCACAACATTATTCCTCTCTTTCATTTTTTGTTATATATATATATATATATATATATATATATATATATATATATATATATATATCTCTTTTTTTTTTTGTTATATATATATATATATATATATATATATATATATATATATATATATATATATATATATTATGTACATTTAATTTATACTCATATGAATTTTTTCGTCTCTCTGATGAAGGCATTCTCTGAAGCGTTTGCATTTGGTGTGTAGTCATTATGACAGCTTAACTTATAAAAATATTGATTTTCTTTTGACACAAATTGTTCCTGTTTCATTCATCTGCAAGTCACAAGTTTGCCGATATTTGAAACGGTGTTTTGCTATGTAAATGTCCGATGCAATGTTGTCAATGGAAATTGTGCTATGTTTAACTAGCGTTTAGCTTCATGGTTTAAAAAAATTCCACAACAGAATAATTGAAAGCAGTAAATAACTTTTACAAATAATTTTAGTTATACTTAACTTTGATTTATTAATCATTTAGAATATTAATAACTGGTGAAATTACATAATTAAAAAATTGAAAGAGTGTACTTGAAAAAACAGAAAACGAAATCTATATAAATTTATATCTTTTACTTGTTACTAATGTATTTAAATAGTGTATTTACATAGTGCATTGACATAGTATATTTACATAGTGTATTTACATAGTGTATGTAAATAGAATGAAAAGTAAGCGGGAAATAAATAATATTAATAAATATTATATCCTATTAAATTCAAATGAAATCTGAAATGTGTTGCGTAAAAGCCATCGTATTGTCGGTGATGTATTATTGCTAAGTACTGCTGCTGGGTCAAAGCTGTGTAGTATTACAGTGGTAAAGCTATATTATAAATGCATAATTTCTAGGATAACTTTGTGTTATTTGCTAAACTATTGCTGGCTAGCTTGTCGTGACAGTGGTAAATGCAGACGTGGAGGGGAGATAGTGGAGCAGTCACCGCTGATGTCATTGTCCTTGCAGAAGGGGGTCCCTGCGGTAGTTGTGTTTAACACAGTCAACAAGGAGTCCCCCGAGCTAACGTTGGCGTAAGTCCTAAACGAGCAGTTTCTATCATCTGATATTGTGCTCCATCTCTCGGGAGATCTTGGCGATAATAGATGGTACGCACCGTCGTCTCCAATTCTAGGATCTTCAGAGCCGCCCCCAGACTCCTCGTCGTCGCTCACGTCTTCCCTCGTTTTGATCCGATATTTCATCTTGATGTCCTGCCTCCATTTCTCAGTGCTTCTCTTGCTAAACTTTCTGCTCAGCGATAAGAATGGATTCGTAAACTTTCTCGGAGGTTCATAGTTGTCCACCAGGTTTTCATAGAGGCTGATCGCCAGTTTGCTGACTTCTCTGTCGGAGAAACACTCAGGTAATGTTATAAGGAAGTTACTGACGACTCCTGGCCTCGCCATGGATGACATTATCGATAATCCGCAACGCGTTTCAGAGCCATCCGTTTTTCTTGGGTCTAAGGCGTCTCCTGTTAAGGCAGGCAGAACATCTCTAGACGCCTCCGATTCATCGGCACAACTTGGTCTTAGTTTCATGACCTGCTCTCTCGATACTTTTCTAGAATTAAGAGTTGTTTTTCCTAATGCTGACTTTTTATTAAGAACACCAGCACTCGTATCTTGAATGTCAAAGCCTTTATGAAGACCCTTTCCCCTCTTCACGTGCTTAGAAGCATTTCCTTTAACTGACACCAAATCATCTTGCTGGATCGAGGTTTTGTCATGACTTGGACCAGGAAAGGAGACGCCGCTGGAATTTTGACCTATTAAGAGTAATAGTTCCGATTTAATGATACCAAATGTGGGCCTCTTGATGGGATCATTTGCCCAACAAACCATCATAAGATTGTACCTGCAGACATAGTAAGGTCATGTGATATAAACTTCTACTGATTTATAAACAATCACTAAAATAGAGGACATATTCAGGCATGAATTTAAAGAAATTATACCATACACGCTTAATATATGGTTACATTTTGTCTCTTTTGTTTTATTTCTAAAGATAAAAATGCAGGCAGAAGTGCTTAATTGACAGCAACATCTTTCTGATGACTCACAGAGATTCTGGACAGAAATATGGCGGGGGAAGACGCCGACGACGTAAGAAGTTCACTACGTCCCAGCCGTCGACTCCAGGGTAAGGAGTCAGACCACGAGTCAACAGCTCCCACAGCACAACACCCAGGGACCACTGAAATTTAAACACAAAGGGACAGCTGAAATTAGAAAACCAAAGATACTCTGGGCGGATCTGTTGACAAAAACAGACTTGTATTTGCTCTGGTTTCAACATATAAATTATTCAAAATCAAGAATTCGGAATATAAATTATTCAAAATGAAGGAATCAACATTTAATTTTTTTTTTATTATTGACAATCAAGGAATCGACACATAAATTATTCAAAATAGAGGCATCGACATGGAAATTATTCAAAATCAAGGATTTGAGCTGAAGTAAAAGGTTAAAATTGTTCGATGTTACTTTCAAACTATAAATAAATTATATTTGGCAAAGATCAAACAAATAATTAGTCGAAAATTCATATTTCCGAATACAGTTATGTTATTTAAAATATGAAATCATTACAAACCGATATAATCGGGAATATGTCTGTTCGAAACGACAGAGTGATAAAACACTTGAGATTTTTTTTTTAATTCATTTATGTTAACCCAGAGGAGAGAAAAGAATTATCATGGACCAAGCAAACATATTTTATGCTGTTCTCCGTTCTATTAAAAGTTCATTGAAACAATAGTAAATCTACAACTTAGCAGGATAGGAATAAATTTTATAAAAATGATGCCACGAATAACATATAATGTGAGATCATCCCTTCTTTCCAACACATGTTATTAGATAGTTGAGTTTAAAACTCCACAAATTCTAAATATTAAATAGAAAAATTAAACTTTTATCATGGGGTGTCTCCCGAAATTCTTTGTATGCCTAAATAAATAAATAAATTTAGAAGAAAAATTAAAAAAATCACACTCACGACATCCGACTTGGTGCTGTAGGCTCCGTGTTCAATACTCTCTAACGCCATCCACCGAATGGGTAGTTTCTTCTTGTTGTTACTTGTGTAGTAGCCCTTCTCATAGATGTCACGGCACAGACCGAAGTCGGCGACTTTAACACGGTTACCAGTGTCAAGCCTTTTAGGATAGAAATGTTTACTTCTTTACATCTTCTTAATGATTTCCGCCAAACACAAGTAAAACTAACATTTGAATGACATTTATCCACACAATCTTGCTTTATTATTCTATTTATCATTTTGAGCATATCTTAGGTAAGAAATGGTCTAAAGCAGACAATTCGTGCCACGATGTCATTTACGTGTTTATTTAACTTAATAGGTTTGAGGTTTGGGTTAGGTTTAGGGATAGGTATAGGTTTTGGGTTAGGTTTAGGGATAGTTTTAGAGTTTGGGTTAGGTTTAGGGATGGGTTTAAGATTTGGGTTGGGTTTAAGATTTGGGTTAGGTTTAGGGATAGGTTTAGGGTTTGGGTTAGGTTTAGGGATGGGTTTAAGATTTGGGTTAGGTTTAGGGATAGGTTTAGGGTTTGGGTTAGGTTTAGGGATAGGTTTAGGGTTTGGGTTAGGTTTAGGGATAGATTTAGGGCTTGGGTTAGGTTTAGGGATAGGTTGAGGGTTTGGTTTAGGTTTCAGGCTGGGGGATAGGTTTAGGGTGACCTTTTTACGGGTCGTGGCAACCAAGATTGCGGCTGTGGCGCGAAATGTCTGAGTTAACCAAGAAATTTATTTTTCAATAACTATTTTACAATTGATTATTGCCCATATCTATACTAAGAAGGATTCATTTACAAAGCGTTCACACAATCCTTAGACACTGTTGTGAATACTGTGGTATGACGTCCAAATATAATCTCTACTTCCGATCTCATTTAAATGACATGAGGAGCAATCTAAAGAGAAGGGTCCAGACGATTATGCACGATTTTAATTTACAAACAGTGCATAAGTGGGATAAAATTTTGAATAATCCACACAGGCAACTTTAACAATTTATGCAGACTCACATGCAGTTTCTGGCTGCCAGATCTCTGTGGACACACTTGAGTGAGCTCAGATAGTCCATGCCGTCAGCTATGTCCGCGCAAAATTTGATGACGTCATGGAGAGTCAGTGACTGGAAGATTAGTTAATCTTTGAAACAGTAAATTCAGCAAAGTGAAGGTGTTATGTACCGTTTTTGGTTGTAAAGATTAAATCTTTGTTATTAGTCTGATCGTAGAAGAAACAACATGTAACAAAAGACTGATCTATCAGTTTGAAAAGAACAACTATATCAAAAATTGGGGATACTAAAATTTAATTTCATTATATAAAATTCTATACAAATACAAATTGTAGCATCGATGCAAAAAGTGTATCAAATTAAAAGCAAGGGGAAAAAAGTATAATCCTTAATCTATATAAATATGAATTTATACACAAGGGTATGAACGCCTCCAATATCTTTCTATAAGTCTCGCCAAGACTGGTTCTCATAAGTCTCTGTGATTTTAAGCCTCAGAAAGTCTATCTGCTTAAAATCCTGGCACGCTTTTTAGAGGCGCTAAGTCCGAACGTTCTAGTCCAGAAAACCTGGACATTGCGTCACTAATTGTTATCCTTAAAAACAAATGGAACGTATCCGAAAGTTATCAAACGCTCTCCCCAGCCCGGACGGGCGCGCGCAGGAAAAAACTAAAATTCATTGGGGTTACGTCCACTTCGAGGTCAAGTCATCTAGACAAGCCTAAGCGATAGTGGCTAAAAATAACTGTGTTGTACTTTTAAAAAAAAACAACGCCTACACGTACTAGTCTCAAAATATAGCAAAGGTAATAAAAACCTTGGAAATAAAAAAAAAAATCAGGGTAATTGTGTAGATCAGTGGTCCCCAAATGGCGGTCCGTGGACCTTCACCGGTCCGCATGCCTAACGCTGCCGGTCCCCATAACATAAATATTTATTGTCCAGAAGCAATAAAAGTGTAAAAATAAATCATGTACTGGTCGCTGGTAAAATGTCGAAACTTGTTCGCCGGTCCGCCTGAATTAAACGTTTGGGAACCACTGGTGTAGATGGTTTGATCTTTGACATATTCCATTCATGATATTGAAGCAAATATACACAATTTTCACCATAAAGTCTGTATCTTGCCACTGCTTGAGATGGACGAGAAACAAACGACATTATAAATACTGAGCTCCATGCTATGTAACAGAGCTGAAGAATTGGGGAAATTAAATTCCAAGCTTAACTGTTACGTACCACTGCGGGGTCACGGACATAGGTCAGCAGGTCGCCTTTATCCATGAAGGGCAATATAACGTAAGGAACTCCAGGTTCTTTCTCGGCCAGTCCAACTAACCCCATCACATGGGGATGATGAAAGTCTTTCATAATGAGAGCTTCTTGGAGAAACCCAAGAAGGTCAATACTGTTTGAAAAGGGATCTGATGATTAGATGTTGAAAGTTTCTGATAATGAGAGCTTGTTTGACAAGCCCACGTGTATCAACATTGTGTGATTTTTTTGGATTGGATTAAGAGAGTTAATGTCGTATGACGGGGGGTGTGTTCAACGTTTGGAGAAAGCTGATATGTGAATTGGTCCAGGAGTTATGGCCCGTGATGTGTGAACTTGTACCAGTAGTTATGGCCCGTGATGTGTGAACTTGTACCAGTAGTTATGGCCCGTGTTGTGTGAACTTGTACCAGTAGTTATGGCCCGTGTTGTGTGAACTTGTACCAGTAGTTATGGCCCGTGATGTGTGAACTTGTACCCGTAGTTATGGCCCGTGATGTGTGAACTTGTACCCGTAGTTGTGGCCCGTGTTATGCGCTAGGTAGTTTGAATTCATCATAAAAAATGAATTCGATCAATTATTTTAAACTTTTGATTAAACAAAAACATCAATTTCAAATTGTCAAACATCAAGGCATCGGACCGTGGGGTTCCATTTATTACATGAAACATGCTGAACTCTGACCTTGCAATGCCTTGATAGCAACTGTCTGTGGAGGAAGCCCAGCGTCTAACGTTAGCAGACCTTCGTACACACAACCAAAGTTACCTAAGGAAAAAGGAAAAGCTGCTTGAAAGAATTTGTTAATGTTGTAAAATGTTTAAAAAAAAAAAAAATTAAACATGAAATTTTAATTTAAAAATGCTATTCAAAGGATGTAGGAGACATTAGCTCTAACACAAAAATGTTGAAGTTTGTTAAATAATTACATTAAAATAATGTCATAATTCATAATTATTTGTAAAAAACGATTGTACAGAAAGATTTTAATGAGTTACCAGATCCGATACACTTTCCAACCGTCAACAAATCTAAATCAACAATCAAAGTGTTCATGTCTTTCCCATCGTCCCCTGGGGCCACAGAGTCTAAAATCTGTTTTAAAGTTTGACAAGAGTCTCTTCCACAACCTAAAGTTAGATAGTAATTAGATACATCAAGAAACTTCTTGTTTTGTGTTAATGAGAAGAAATCGTTTTCCATTGTTCACTAATCACATCAAATGTAACCTGCTAAAATTATTAGGATATTTTGGATGTTAGACACATAACAAACAGTAGAATAAAACAGTCGTAATGCAGATTTTCAATATTCAAAAAAAAAAACAACAACAACATACATCAAGTCAATCAAAATGAATACCTGAATTAGCCTCAGTGAAATGTAAATACATTTGTTTCTCTTTCATAGACTTCAAGTTTTTTAGCTTTAAAGTCAGTGCTAGAACTAATGCTACAAGTACGACTATTACAGCTAATGGTATCAGATAAAACATAATATGCCATGAATGGTTAGGGTCTGTCCCCTTCACCTCAATGAGTTGCACTTTTAAATTTCCAATTTGAACGGTCAGTGGACAGATTGGTTTCGGTGTTTTGGTTGTAGAGGCCAAGGAAGGTGTCGTTGTCTTTCCTTTATGTCTGTCTGGTTTAGTAAGGCTTAAAGTTTGACCACTTAATACACCAAGCCCGTAATGTGATCCAGACACGTACTCCGGTGTAGTTGTTTCTGTTGATGTATCTCTCTTATTATCCGGGTTTTGATTATTAATCTTATTAACGTGAGTGTGGCACTCCATAAAACTTCCATTGACATATTTCATCTGACATTTCTCCTGTGAAGCAGTCGTTACACTGACTCTGCTGCTGATGAATTCAGAAAAGTGATCACCCTGGTAATGATGAGATGAACCCGTCAACACTTTGGTGAGCATGCAGTTAAACATAAATGTTAGCATTACAATATTTTTTTTTTAAATTAAATTTTCATTAAAATATACAAGCATTTTGAAAATATTTTCAAATTTAATTGCTTATAACATGATGGATAATGGTCCTTTTATGATATTGCTGATGTAAGATTAGAACATTTTATGATTTAGTCAACGATATTTTTGCCTTAAAATTATCAATAAATTATACTTTTTAGAAATAATAAATAACATATTTTTAAAAATTAATTACCTTTATGTTAAGAGTTTGATTTTTGCTTGAACTGAAACATTGTAAGGAAGATAAATTCTTAAAATTGGGATCACGGTAAATACTAATAACATTTGATGCATTAAAATTAATGACGACGTCATCCGTTTTCATTACTAGGTTGGCAGTGACATAAATTTCAGGCTTGTTCTTTCGAAAATATGACTGGGTCATTTTGTGAACATTTGGCGTTTGACACGTCATCACATGAGGTTCATTTTTAGTGCACTTGATTGTTTCACTCTGTAAGTAGTAAACATATGTTTATAATTCGGGGTTGAACATGTTATAGTTAATTGTCACATCAATAAGACCTTTAAAAACCAATGAAACTGGGGCTGGACATTACATTGAATGATATTTTAGCTTCGTACTTTTTAACTGCTTGTACCTATATTTTATGACTAAGACATCTTTATCACTAAATAGAAGAATGTTATTTTTAGTAAAGATAGAAAAATCTAAATCAATTGCTTACGTTCTTATTATTGTAGTTGAGCACAAGCTCAAATTGTACGTCACAGTCAAGATTCTCACCCGACAGTGTCAGGGTAATGCCACCACTGTAATTAAATAAAATTCTTCGTTTATTCTATAAAGCGCATTTTAGAATGTTACGCTTTTAAGAAAATGACAAATGGGTAGGTACATTAGATTAAATATGGAGCTGTTGACCTAATCTCCTTTAGAAATCATGTCATAAAAGGAGACAATTTATTTCGGTGAATTTTCTAACGGCTTTTTCAACACTTCTAATTTTTTTTTTAAAATCTTCATCGATAAGATGGCTGTCGTTCGAAGTCCTTGGTGGAAATTTAATGGTCCTAAATATTTATCTCTAAAAAACAAACATTTAGACTCCGATAGCTTCATATTTTTTTTTAGTTATTATCAATATCTGTCATCTTTGGTTCTAGCAGAGTCATTTCAATGTATGGTGTCTCTTAACATAATTATTCATTCCCTCTTGTCACAATTCCTATACAGTTTTCTTACATTTCAGTGCCATCAAAACTTAGTTGAGTTAGCTACTGGTATAAGAGAACATGAGATCAATAGTATCTGACCATTTATTGCATTATTTGTTTTTAAATGAGCAGTGTTAATGAAAAAGATTTTTTTAATTAAAAAAAAACCTCTACTTTCTACAAATAGAAATTTGCTGAGATATTACATTACCTTTGAATTGTTTCATTTGGAGAAACACTAGTGATGACAGGATCTCGTTTGTAACAGAATGTTTTGTTCTTTAAAATTTGTTTAAAGTTGTGGATAGATATTTCCACGCTATCACAGTAAGGTGTATCGTTCATGGACTTGCCTAGTTTGCATTTGAGAGATGTGCTTAAAAAATTTGAAAGAATTATTCGTTACAATCAATTTCTTATCAGTCTACCCTGATGCATATTTAACAAAAAATATTGGCCGGTTAAATAAAAGGAATCCTTTCATTATGTTTGTCACGCCAAAAACATTAAAAAAAACGAGTAGGTATTCATAATATTCCTTATATTAAAATATTGTAATCTTGACACCTATACTTTTCTGGCACTTTATCCACAAAGTTGAGTCACAAAAGCTATTTGTAAATGTGGATTTCAAAGTATCTATTTATACCATTGCCATAAACCGAGCTAAAGTTACATTTGACGTCATCACCACACCTAACCCACACCCATCCCTAAGTAATGTTTCCTAATCTGATTCAACCCATCATTAAATGCCTATAAGCGCCCTTTCTTTTCGTTATATTGTATTGAACGTAGAAGGCCGCCCTTACTAAATGCCATCACCAATCCTTTAAGTTTTCTTTTTTGTTTCAAAGGTATTGCTTCAAGCTGAAAAAATAAAAATGTAGATAGAAACTTTCTGATAATTGTCTTACCCGTTTCTACGATTAGGTTTATCGATAATAATGCATGGAACATCAGCCACTGTGATTAGAATGCTTCTGTTGATATTAAGGTGCTTGCCACTCAATGTCACCGTCATGCCACCAGAAACAGGTCCACACGTGGGTTTAAATGTTGTCAACTGGGGCCACTTCAAGTAAACACAAATAAATATTAACACACATCTTTTTTTAAATCTAATTAAGATCATACTTTGGTCAACGTTTTGGTCAAAAATCAGATAAGATCTGATCAAAGATATTTCTAATTATATGCACTGTGATCTATGTTTCAATTGTTTTAAAACATTTGTGTAACAAGTGAAAAATTGAAACACAAACATTTCGCTCAACATTTTTTTTCAATTAAAAGATCACACAATTTTGTGCGCACACAGATGGAATGAGGCTTGTCATCAACATTTTGAGAGGACATAATCTTTTTTTTCTTTTTTTTAAATCTAAACAAAATTAACAAATTAATTTCCTAAATAATTATAAATAAAATATGTTCATACAGACCAGTTACGGATTGGTGTTTTTTAAGAACTGGTTAGTAAATAAAAATATTACATGATCTATTATTGATGCATACACATTTTAGTATGACACCTACCTCCTGTTAAAATACAAAACTAATAAACTTTATGAAATGAATTAAATATCACTAAGAATTATTCCTTTGTGATATTATATTCTACAACATTAATAACCGGCATCAATTTAATTCCGTCTACGTTATAAAGTTACTGATAACTTTTCTAAATCACATGTATAGAAAAAAAATCGATTCAGAATAATTACCACAAACTTCAATTTTTCCCTTCCTACAAGTTCTGAAATGTTATGATCACTCTTGTTGAATGACCAGGTGACGGTTATTTCACAGTCTTCACTGTAAGACTCCCTGAATGGACGTTTGCGCACCGCACACGTTATATTACTGTAAGATCAGGGAAATCATTAGGTTACTGTAAGGCTAGGGAAAACGTTAGGTTACTGTAAGACTAGGGAAAAGATTAGGTTACTACAAGACTAGGACACATTAGGATACTACAAGACTAGGAAACATTAGGTTACTACAAGACTAGGAAACATTAGGTTACTGTAAAAATGGGGAAAACAGAATACTGTAAGACTAAGTAAAACATTAGGTTACTGTAAGACAAGGGAAAACATTAGGTTACTGTAAGACTGGGTAAAACATTAGGTTACTGTAAGACAAGGTAAAACGTTAGGTTACTGTAAGACAAGGGAAAACGTTATGCTACTGTAAGACAAGGGAAAACGTTAGGCTACTGTAAGACAAGGGAAAACGTTAGGCTACTGTAAGACTGGGTAAAACATTAGGTTACTGTAAGTCAAGGTAAAACATTAGGTTACTGTAAGTCAAGGTAAAACATTAGGTTACTGTAAGACAAGGGAAAACATTAGGTTACTGTAAGACAAGGGAAAACATTAGGTTACTGTAAGACAAGGGAAAACATTAGGTTACTGTAAGACAAGGGAAAACATTAGGCTACTGTAAGACTGGGTAAAACATTAGGTTACTGTAAGACAAGGTAAAACATTAGGTTACTGTAAGTCAAGGTAAAACATTAGGTTACTGTAAGACAAGGGAAAACATTAGGTTACTGTAAGTCAAGGTAAAACATTAGGTTACTGTAAGTCAAGGTAAAACATTAGGTTACTGTAAGACAAGGTAAAACATTAGGTTACTGTAAGTCAAGGGAAAACATTAGGTTACTGTAAGTCAAGGTAAAACATTAGGTTACTGTAAGTCAAGGTAAAACATTAGGTTACTGTAAGTCAAGGTAAAACATTAGGTTACTGTAAGTCAAGGTAAAACATTAGGTTACTG